AAAAAATAACAGTGTGTTAATCAATCATCTTGACATGTTTTCTAGTAGTCTATGGAATTGGTCAACAATGAACAATAAGTATTATTGTATGATTCTTCTGTATATTTCTGGAATGATAATCTGTGAATAAGTAGAACAACTTTAAATATTAAGTGCCTTTGTACTTGACATTCCCTGCTTAGTGGACATATATTTGACATAGTAGTTTAAGAAATGTACCAGTTATGAAATCCATGCACTTGCACCACCTTTATGACAAAATTGACAGTGGACAAATATATTGGAAGATCTTTAGCTTTCGGGATTTTCATTTAAAAAATCATTCAAGTGTGAGTCAGAAGACATTTTAGAAGAAATGGTACATATGAATCGATTGCCACTTTTAAAATTAGAACATTTCTGTATATTCATACTGACAACACTCCAAGTTTTGTAAATGGGGTGTACTATACATTTAAGTCCAAAGTGCGACATTTTCCTGTCCATGTTGCCTTGGTACTTTGTACTTGGCCATTCAAGTATCACCAAGAATGACTTCAAACAATTTTAATTTGTTGTGTAGGTAGGGTGCTATTCATAATCACTCTTGGAGGAAGACTGCATAAAGGGATTGCATCAGAATTAAAAAAAATCATAGATGTTTAATAGATGTAACAGGGACAGGGAAAATGGTGGATACCAAATGTATAGAATGACCCCAATCTACAGGTGTATGTGGAATAGATGGATTGCATTCAACAGCCATCTTGAAGGTGTGATGGTGTGTTTAATTCATTAACAATGAACGCACGAGAGGTCTACTCAGTGTGTATCCCTGTTGAACAAATTCAAAGATGGCTACAGTGTCAGTTCAACTCCTGCCAACACTGAAACTGCTAAAAATCATCTGAGACTAAATTTGGCATCATATATGGCTTCAAAAACGGGGTAAAGGTTTCATAAACATTAAATCTGACAGAAAGCCAGATTAATAACTTCAAGCAATACAGGAGACATGTAGAGTACGTAATAAAATAGAGTTTATTACAAGCCAAGAGGATATCGAGTGAATCTGTTACAAGTTTATCCATCTTTTATGAAAGCTTTACGTTAGTCATTATTAGCAATTACATTTGTCTGCATTAGGGGTCATTATATAGAGGGGGTAATTATATGAAGAAGGTAGCATTTTATGGGTGAATTCAAGTCTGGCTAAACCGCCCACACCAAACAATAAATTACTGCCAAATGTGTGAATATCTCAGATAAAAAGCAGCACCGAGGTCATATTGCCCCGGCTCCAACATAAATACACAAAATCAATAAATTGCTAAACTATCTTGGATCAAAGGGTGAGCTGCTCTTATTGATTTTGGTCCATGTGCTATCTATCCGGTTCGTTAGTGTGACGTCACCTCCAGCACTTTCTGCACGATTGGAACCGGAAGTTAACGCAGCTCGAGCGTTTGCAGCCAATGGGCGCTAGTAATCAGGGGTGTGTGCGCGTGTATGACGTTTTTACTAACGAACCGGATAGCAATGAAAATACATTCGTAAGAGGGTCCCTCCCTCCCTGACTTAGTACAAAATTATATCACAATGCTCTTATAAGATCATTAACTAAAATAAGGCTGGAACCATATTTAATTGCAATTTTGAATTGCATTTTTGTATCATAATTACGTCTGTTTCATTTGGTCTGAGGTTAGATTGGAAATTTGTAAAGCCTAGTTGCCATATCGACATAAGAAACACAGACATATGGAAACATTTCATCCGGAAATGTCACCGACAACCCAGAAAGGCTATCGGCAGACGGTTCTGTGCACTGTGCACAATCTGCATAAGCTTAACGTTGATATAGAAACTAGGCTTAACATTAACCTAACAATTCCCAACCCTTCAAAATCCAACTGCATTTTTTGTTGGAATCTGTTGAAGTGAGTAAACGGATTATGCTTTTACACAGGCATGCAACTCTGAATTAAAAATAAAAATTAAAAAACGAGGAAATTCCAAACCACACAAGACTTTGTACAGTGTTTTTCAATTTGTAATGGCATTCATGAGAAGTACAAAATAAGGATATCAGCGGCTACAAAGAAAAGTTGCATGCCTGTTTACATGGGGTGAGGCATACCACCATACTCGGAGTCCCAACAGTTTGGGTGTAGAGTTTACCATGGTGTTGGAATTTGCAAAAGTGAAGAAGGTTTCTAGTAAATCACTCAAGGGGGTTAGGGTTAAAAAGCACAAGAACCATCACCAACGATGATAAGTTAATATTTTGGTTTATCTCGGACTCCTTTTTTTGACGTGGATATTACTTTAAGTTACTCTCCCTGTGCTATTTTCAAGTTTCAACACAGAAAAATAGATTTTGTTTTTTAATTACTATTTTTCTAGCAATAGAAAATGAAATCACTTTAATGAGCAAAAATAAATTCGCCCCAAAAATGGAAAAGTAAATTCGCCTCGAAAATGGAATAATAAATTTCAGTCCGACAATTATTTTCAGTCCGACAATAATTTCGTTGATCTCTTTTTTTTTTTAAAATGTATTATGAGAGCAAAAGCACACCAAAATAAAAGCATATTCTCAGAGGGGTGGAAAGGTCCAAAATAGAAAATTATTTTTAAATAAACAAATAGAAAATTCATCAGGAGAAAAAAAAAAGGAGTATGCTTCAGACCATGGGTGGACCATGGGTGGACCATGGGTGGTCCATGAATTGACCAATTTTATGAAGAATAGAAATTACCCGAAAGTACAGAAAATCATAAAGAAATACTGACATTTGTGTAAGCTAGGCTATCAGCAACCTGTTCAAACATATGGAGAAATCGCACAATGAATAAGTAAATATGCAGTCATGTAAACCCCAGAGTTGCTGACTCGAGTCATGTGACTTGGACTCGAGTCGGACTCGAGTCGCTATTTTTGTGACTTGTGACTTGACTTGTAAATACCAGCTTTGACTTGTGACTTGACTTGGACTTGCAAACAATGACTTGTGACTTGACTTGGGATTGCAAAAAATGACTTGTTACCAACCCAAGTCAGACGCTAGGTCTGCTGTTTGTAAAATATGTGGATCCACTGTCACTGATGGCCCAAACACAACGAGCAATTTCGTGCGGCACCTTAAAACCCACGATGAGCGGTGAGTAGTCGCGCTGTGACTTTTTTTTCGGGGGGGGGCTTAACCGCGAATGGATTTTCGGTCATTCTGGGCTGCGTACAAACTCTTGCTTCATATGGCTATTGAATCTAAATAACTTCTAGCCTCTAGTACTTGCAAATCTGTCCTAGACAGAATGTGATAAACTACAAGAATAGTAATTGCAACACACTGAAAAAGGGGAATTAAGGAGGCATGTTCAAAATAACTCTTAAGTTGACGCCAGGTTCTTTTAGCTTATTACAGCTGAACAAAATAATGTGCAACTTGACGTGTTCTTGGACAAAGATACTTGTGACTTGACTTGTGTTTAGACCAAATGACTTGTGACTTGACTTGTGACTGGACCTAATGACTTGTGACTTGACTTGTGACTGGACCTAATGTCTTGTGACTTGACTTGGACTTGCAAACAATGACTTGTGACTTGACTTGGCCTTGCAAAAAATGACTTGCTGCCACCTCAAACCCCCCCCCCAAAAAAAAGACGTGACTCTACGATGTCCACCCTCAACTACCCTTAAGGGGCCATCCATAAAGTATGTATGCACGAGGGTGGAGGGGTGGAAGAGGGAGCTTTGTTAACACTGCGTACACCATGCGTACAGAGGGGGAGGGGTGTCCAAGCCAATGTGTACACACGCAGAGCAATAATGTGCTTTTAATAAATTGTCTTGAAATCAATGTACTTTCTCACATTTAATGCCTACCGGGACCAGCTTTCATGCATCGAAAAGCATCATAACACTGTTCCCTTCTGCCACCATTTAGATTTGGCCAATGCCACTGCCAGCCAACGCCTATAGAGGTCATTACAATTCAGAGACATTGACATTACTAAATAAAAGACTGCTTCAATTAGCCGCTGTGGTAAGCGAAGCGCATTCGTAATGCTTTGTAAGGTACATGTACAATACATGTACATGTACGATACATGTACATGTACATGTACACCGGAAATGTACAGTGTATGAGAAGTGGGTTGAAACTGTAGTACATACAGGGGGAGTCTACAAAGTCAGCATTTTGGTATACATACTCTATGGATGGCCCCTATTAGACTGTGAAACTAACTAATGATTCCTAATGTGTCAATGTCTAGATTGAAGAATTACCATCCAATCTAAGCAAATCAAAGCAATCCCAAACTGGACTACAATGCAACGATTTTCAATGAAGATAGAAATACATGTATTGCAATACAAAATTAGAAAAACTAATTTACATGATTTAAGACACTTACATATTCACATTGTACATGTATTTTGAACATCCATTTAGTGTCTAAAAAAATCCTTTCACATGATGAGACATAAACATTTTCAAATACATGTAATTTAGTAACGGTGTGCAATTCAGCCTTTAAGTAGACTTGACTCAAGTCGGAATTGCTTTAAGTCGGTATCTTTAAAAAAAAGTAGCAAAAATCACTTAGTTTACGTCTTTCCAGATGCCCAACAAGGTACACTTCAGCGCGTGTTCCACTTCAGTGCCGTATAACAATGCGCACACACTGTATGTACACTGTACAACACGCGTATTACACGTACATGTGTGTGCATGTATTGCAGAATATGTGCATACATGTGGTGCAAAAGTTAGCAATTGCTGCATCACTTGAAAATAACATGTACATGTACGTTTTTAACATGATGGTCCGGATTCGACGCATGAGGGCGCGCGTTATGTACTGTAAGGACATATGCGATATGCGATGTGAGTGGATTTAACAGACCGAGCACAACCCAGACTTGGCCAAGTCTAGCCTTTAAGCTGAATGTAGATGGGTCGTTCTATAAATTTTAGGTCTAAAGTGACATTTTTCCTGACCCTGTTACCTTGGCACTTTGCCATTCAAATATCACTAAGAATGACTTCAAACTAGTGTAAATTTGTTGGGTATTACTTTGCTATTTATAATCACTCTTGTAGAAACTACCCATGTAGGAGTGCATCCCAACTTTACAGAAGTCTACCAATGCCAAGAAAATCTTCAGCAACTGGACGGCTATTCCCAGGCACCATGCCATTCAAGACAGGTCATCAATCTTACCAGAATTCGGACTCGTAGCTTAGCAAGCTGCAAGTTCTTGGGTCATGGTTGTTTACACATGGGATACAGGGTATTAACCAGTTCACGTTGGATGACATGTATACACACACAAGTTTTGCGGTATTCGGAACGGATGACGGATAAACACACAACGAGCGAGGCCAGAAATATATGTCTGCGACCTGCTCACAGCGAGCGAGGCCAGAAATATCAGGGTGTGCTACCCCCAGATGATGACCTGAGCCCATCTGGCACCGAGGTTTGTGAAAAACAATCCTGTGCCTGGGTCCGGTCAATGTCAAAATAATCCCAGCGCGAACTGGTTAAAAATACAGAGAAAATAACCATTGAATGCAATGTGAAGGTTCAGAATTACAGTTTTGCTTCGCAAATCCCAGCAACTCACTTGACAAACCTTAAACGACACCCCATTCCAACTGGTGAATATAGCTCATTTAACCTTGGGTACATTCCTCAGCCTGTAAATCTCCCATTGCCAACTTTTTCGTTCGCAAATAAGCCTCAATATCCAGTCCTTGTTTCTTCCATTATCAAAGAGGCTAATCAAGTGGGCCAACCAATCACCAAAAGCTCATAAAATAACCCCTAAAATGATTCCAAACACAGGCACGGGATATCAATTTCAACAAGTCTAAGGACATCTAACAATTTCTTTACACCCAGACCCCCACCCCGATTGACAATACCCATGGTTATAGCTCATCATGGCTATCTATTTCTCCTGTCTCCACGTCTGTTTTTGTTGTGCATAGTGATGGAGTTTCAAACTGAAATTCATAAGTGCAACGTTCAGGTTCACTGGCTGACACAAGCTTATTTTCCAAGCCGCAACGTAGAATGACCTGTAAGGAAAAAAAATGAATTGTAAGCGGCTGACATAATACATGTATTGTACTGGTCAGGAGATGACAGTGAAGCACCCTGATCATATGTGATTGGAATCAGCAAGCTGAATCTAGAAAACTTGGTGGGGAAGAGGATCGTGGGCAGGGATGCAAGTCTCACACAAGTCAGCTTAAGAAGCTGTAGCTTTTTCTCACAAGCTACTGAAAGTACTGGGCACAAAATCCTTGTATTATTCCAATGCAATTCATTCAATGATATTGTGACCACCAGAAAGGATAGTGTGTCCCTCAGCAGGACACTTTACTGCATTTGCTTCACTCTTGCTCTAGTGACCTTAAAAAGAAATGTTTCAGGAGGAACACATACATCAATAGTCTGAATTTCTAACATTACCTATGCAAAACTCAACAAGCTATAGACCTGGTTCCATCAATATGTTGAGTGAATCTTACCAGTGTGGACCTATCAGGGCCATTCCAGCAATTCCTGCCCCTAGTATACTTCATCTTGCTGTATTTATTCTCATCAGGCCCTTCCCACTGGCCCCAGTTCCTATAAGGAAACCAAAAACAATATTAACATAGGTATGCTTGAAAATCTGCCCTGCCATACTGCAGCTGTGGGGATGTCTTCCGTGAATCAGTGTTATTTTTTTAGACTTGTTAATTTTTAATTCTGTGGTTCAGTAAGACCAGCCTAACATAGCTAAGTAAGGTCAAACTTCAGACTGCAAATCAGATGTAGTTAATAGTATGCAATACTGATTTTGCATAGCAGTTGCCTATCTATGCATCCAGATTTGTGTAGATGCAACTGCCCATACATGCACTTATGAAAGAAATGTTCAGTTGCTCCAATCTTTACTAGCTAAAAACCCTCATTACCCATCTTTAGTAAGCACCTAAACTTAAAAGTCTTGAGCACAAACAAGTAGAAAGGAAAAGGAAGCCACAGTGTTTTACTCTCATTAATTAATACATGACAAAGTGGACATTTATATAAGTTTGTCATTTGGGAGTGTAATGATAAGTTTGGATGAAAGAAAGTGTAATAGTGGAGTCCCCAACAATGATTTCCCTGATTTTTCTCAAGTATTACTGCCAAACTTCTTTGTTGAAAATATTCATTGAAATGTGTTCCCACACATGGGGATGTTGTCAGACAAACTGTCAAATTGCATTGTCTTTACCCGTCTCACGTCCAAAACTTGTGGCATGTGCAGAAAAACCAGTAGGGGGAAGAAGTTGCGTGTTACTCCATACTTGACACACGGATCCTCTACACAAGGACAAACGACTCATCTGAGCTTGTGTACAAAATGTACAAAACGGTTTGTCTACATGCGTGATATGCCGTGTCCGCACATAGAACATGTAGAACAATGCGCGCGCGCCATGATCGCCAACAGCTGGCGTCCTGACAGAAATTTGACCACTGAAAGACTGCAGTTGTGCGCCAAGTCTCGCGCACGCACGATGCGAAAGTGCCATATCACACCTCTAACCAAAAATTGGAGGAAGTTGTTTATCCTTGTGTAGAGGATCCGTGCTTGACATAAGAATGACCAACATGACAAAGTTGACTTGGCATACATACATAATTATGACACTTACCCTAGCTGGGTTTCTGAGCCCCCAGCTTTAGGCCGCTGTGATGTTTTGTCAAATGGACATAATTTATAAGTATACCTAAAAACAGAAAGCAGAAATCAATACATTGTTAACTTTGCATATAATTTAAGTAACACAAAATTAAAGATTTTTGGTCACATCGCATTAAATCAATTATACACACTTTATCAGATTATCACCACACCTTATTTCCATACTAGTTGAACATGTCTGCATGCGCATTATTTAGTTGGGGGTGTAACAATTACTAGACAGAATGTACCCAAAATGATTTTCAAAAATACTCATTTAACTTTTCTTAATATACAGTTTTAAGTGTGCCAAAAAAAGGGGAATTTTGACTACATTTTGTGCTGAATGGTGTATTTCAGGAGAGATGACATGCAACCTTGTTGTATATAGAAGACATTTTAATGAGGCCCACTTAAAATGGTGCTCCACATACAATAAACTCCGGCTAAACCGACATCGTACAACTCGTCAAATCGCTCAAGTCGGCCATCTGACTAAAGTCCCGATTGTCCGTAATGCATCCATTGAATTTTGTATTTCTAAGTCGGCTTTTATAAGTCGCCATTTCGCTCAAGTCGTTGTGTTACTCTCGATCCCCTTTCCATAAACAGAACTACAAAATCCTTTGTGTAAGTCGGCATTCAACAAATCACGCATTGGCATCGACTTCCTGTACTGCGGTTGGCAAAGTGTCGAGTGAAAAGTGGTTTCGCACGGCCCGTGATTGCTGCATGCATCGGTGTCGAAAAAGGGTGTCCTACTGCATACATCGCATATGCATTGAGAGCATATCAATACCAGTACCCTCTCTAGGCAGTACGCATGTGCTGTCCATTTTGGGGGTCCTCTTATTGAATGACTAGTGCTGCAGTCAATGCGTGCGTGGTATATACCGGACCACGCACGCATTTAATTTGTTACTGTGCACGTGCATATGTATCGTGGTCTCCACTATCAATACCCCAAACGTGATGATACAATTCGAGGATTAATTTGCTGGATTCAACTCAAGCATTAAGGAGATAATCCAGGGTAAATTGAAGCCAATTAGTGCAATTAATCATGTGTGCAAAAGGCCATTCATGTAAGTCGGTCAAAATGATGACTTACAGCAGATATCAGCATTCGCGTAAGTCGTCACAAATTCTTGGGTCCCGAGTGTGCCGACTTAGCCGGAGTTTACTGTACTTTATTTGCAGGTTGAAGAAAGTCAAATGGTGTACCTACAGCTTGTCCTATTTACAAACTGATTATCAATGCTGTATATACAGTGCGAGTCAAAAAAACTATACACTTTTAAAATTGGCCATAGTTTTATTCTGTAGCAATAAAGATAAGATATTTTCATATGTACTTTTAGAGTAACTCTTCCTGCTTCGTTTGGTGACATTTTCACTGGATTAGTTTTCATGCATGACTGCACAGGAGACAATTAAAGGGGTCGGGTGAAATCTGACTTGCGACAACTAGTCAGGGCTGTATAAGAATGAGACACAAGCATTGCCTTGGTTCTGGTCATGGAATGCATAATCAGTTCAGATTTGTGGATATTGCTTGCAAGAGTTTCAGTAGGCAAATCTGGATGGCCTCCAGGAAAGGATAACTCGTGAAATTGACATTCTCAGACAAGACAGGGAGGTGATCCGCCGTGCTGTTGCAGGAATGATGCGCCGAGCCCAGCTGTGCATTGAACGAGATGGTGGCCATGTTGAGGACTAAGCCACCGTGGAATTCAATTGCCTTTTTAATTTAATTTAAATGTTTTAAATAAACACGAAGTTTAAAAGCTAATAAAATCCTGTTTTGTCTCTTTGCTAGACAATAGTTGTGTTCTTTAAAATTGTCTCTTTTTTATCCAGCCCTGACCAGTTGGCGCAAGTCAGATTTCACCTGCCCCCTTTAACTGTCTCCTGTGCAGTCATGCATGAAAACTAATCCAGTGAAAATGTCACCAAAAGAAGCAGGAAGAATTACTCTAAAAGTACATATGAAAATATCTCATCTATATTGCTACAGAATAAAACTATGGGCCAATTTTAAAAGTGTATGTATTTTTTTGACTCGCACTGTATAATGAACACATAACTGCTTGTTTCTGCTGGTTTCACTCATGGAATCTACGACTAGGACTTACTCTCTATCTGTGTACTCATAACATTGTTTCTGTAATGGTTCAAACTCTTGCTGTGGGCCCAGGTCCACGTTCATCAGTTTTTCTATATCTTCAATTGATTTCTTGAGGTCGTTGACTTGCTTCTCAGCCTCCTTGAATTCCTCTCTGGCTGCATCCGCAACTACAGGGGAGAAAACAAATAAAACAAAGTAAATCACTGAAGCTATATGTAACCTAATGAAACTCATTTTTGTATCAACAAAATTTACAAAAAAAAGAGCTTGGTTTTCTTATTCACGTTGCAACACGTTGCCATGTTTTATCAGTCCATGATAAAAATGGGAATTATGTAGGTAAAATGTCTCAAGTATTTGCTCCAGTCCAAGGTGATATGTCTTAGCAAATCGTTACACATATTACTTTAAGTTCAAGGTAACATGGGTTTAGGATAAACTACTTCTAGTGAGAAATTGCAGGAAATTGTACAGTTACTGGAAATTGTACATTTACTGTGACATTGCTATCAACATTTTAAACTTTAAACCAGATATCAATTACAAATTCAGTCCTCGTATCAGTCTACACAGCCATGGTACTACAGCTAACAGGCCCCAAGAAACCAAATGAAGGAACAGTGTGGGGAAATGAGGTTGGAAGAAAACCCCTTACATAATCACTCTTGAAAACCGAATGCATGAAGGAGTACATCCAGCATTTTGTAAAAAAAACATACATGTCAGGTGTAAAAGGGACAGAACAAACGTGGACCCCAAATTGATATAATGACCCATGTGCACATGTTGCGCAGAGTACCGCCAAGTATCCGCACAACTCTGTAATGTCAACCTGTGTGGGTGCCTGGCAGCAATGACACTCAAGTTTCCTTTTTCTCTCTCACATTTTCACAATCAAGACCAACATTACAGATCAAACACAAACATATAACAGTGAGGATTATATTAGAGAGTCTGTGTATAACTACACCCTCAAGCAAAAATGCCAAAACGTCACTGTAATTGAAGGACACTTGAGCACCATGTCACCTAGTCCGAAAATCAATACTGTGTGTCCCAAATTTCAGGTATTGAAAACATGCAACACAAGAAAATAGACTGGCACATGAAACAACCAGTCCAACACCCTTTAGTACTGCATCAGTCAACTGTTTCAAAACTAACGTCTGGTACCTAGCTCTATTGCTACACATTCTCTATGGTCATGCCACCAGACTACTGAAGGGTCAATCTTTGCAAGAAGTTGAACATGCACCAGTCTAGTCTTTATCTTCAAATTGAAATCACTTGGCTTCACTCCCAGGTGCAAGATATTAAAGAAAAGTCTCCTTTAAAAATTGAATAGAGACCCCAAACTTGGCTGGTGAAATACTGAGGATCTTGTCTTTGCCTCATGAAAATTTAAAAAAGTTTGTTGGCTAAAGAGCAAGTACAGTTGGTCTGATCTTGTTTGCATGTTTTTTTTTTCTGCACTCAAGGTCCAGTCTACATGTCAAGCGCGTACTTTAATAGGTGCAATGGGATCACCCATATTCTGTTATATAATAGATCGTTCTGAAATGACGTCATTTCCTACAGACCAGCCACGTGCATCAGCATTTTGAGCGTCAACTTGCATAACGCGCATCTTGCATAGTGCCATCCAAATTTCCTGTGAACGATCCATACTACTACCAGCCCTTGACCACATTCAGATACCTTCTATAAGTTTCTTTGTGGCTTCATCATATTCTGGCATTTCTTCTCCATCCTCCCCTTTTCCCTTCACTTCTTTCTTCTTCTCATAATCCGCCCGATGCTTGGCATATTTCTCCATCAATTCTCCCTCATCCAGGTCATCGTCAAATTCTTCATCCTCATCATCCTCATCAGCAAAGTCCTCTTCGTCTTCATCATTCATGTCGCCATGGTCACCCATGTCTAGATCCTCCTCTGATGCATCACCCTCATTGACATCTTCTGGAGGTGAGGGGACAGGGGATGGCTCCTCTGGGGTCACCTATGGCAGGCAAAGTTAGACAAGTCTGACGTGTATGAAGTGTTCACTAGGCTTTACAAACAAACTTGAGCATTCCCCAATGTTATAGTCAAGTCCATCACAAGCCATCTAGTCCCAAGTCAAGTCACTAGCTATTCAAATGAACTGAAATAAAGGCATTCCTTTGTTACTGTTCATCCCCTTACTTGTGACTAGAATTGTGATTTACTTTGGACTGGACTTATGATTGACTGGACTAGAACAGTGCTAAAAATGTGCAATTTACAGCCAATTGAAAACGCTATCACACTGCAAGCTACTCTGTTCAGGGCCTGATTTCACACAGTTGCTACAGTAGACATATTTACAACAGTTCAAACCAGCCCTTCAAACTCAGAAATAATCTATGAACACAAAATATTTTTACAGAAAATGTTTCTCTGCTGAGTGTATCTGGATGCTTTGTAGTATTTTGATATTTATCTCAAATCAAAAAGTGATACAGAATGCTTGTATATCCGGCAAACAGTTTAGATACACATACAAGTGAATTGTACTCAAAGCAATAACATTGGAAGTTTTGGGGATTTGGCACAGTTTCTCGGAGTTAAATTCTTAACAGTGCATTTTCAAACAACAGCACCTTTCAGTTGTCAGAAAGTCAGGGACACAAATTAGCTGCATAATAATGATATTAGTTAGCTACACAAGGATAAACGACTCATCTGAGCTTGTGTACAAAATGTACAGAATGGATTGTCTACATGCGTGATATGACATGTCCACGCATAGAACAATGTATAGAACATGTAGAACAATGGGCGCCCGCCCGACAGCTAGCTGGCGCCCTACAAATTTGACTGTGCAGTTGTGCGTGTGTGCGGGTCTCCCATACGCGCATGCACGACACCCAAGTGCCGTACCACGCATGTAACCAGAAATTTGGGGAAGTCATTTATCCTTGTGTGCAGGATCCGTGGTTAGAGGAATTCTAGGTCAAGCACCTAGGCCAAGCAACGCTGCATCACTGAGCTCAATTCCACAATGAACATTTTCACACAAAACAAGTGTCAGTTGAAAGCCATGAATTAGTGGCGCAATTCTAACAATCTTCATCATAGGGATTCTGAGCCAACTTTCATTTTTACACAAATCCCAGCACAGAATCACTGTTCATAGGAGCCCCGTTTTGGTGGGTACACTCTGCCAGCAGCTGATTTCACAAAACGCAATGACATAAGTCCACTTGCGCCACAATTTATTGTGCAAGATGCACAACATTTCAATGCTGCACAACATTTTAGTCATGAGAATCTCACGAAAGTTTCATGGTGCGTAAGTCTGTGACTTGCGCAAAAATTATGGCAAAACTTGGCAGTCATTTTGGGTGGCATATTTTGGCAATCATTTTGGGTGGCGTAAGTTGTGACGTAGCGACTGAAAACTATCTATTTTACCAGCAAATCTTGATCGTCATGGAGCCTGTTATTGCACAACTTATCAAGGTTGATACAAGACACTCACAGCTTTCTGTCTGAAGTAAAAGAATTGCTATTGTACTCATGACAGAGGTTTTAGAGTTGCCGCACGATTCCAAAGAAAGTCGGACAAAAACATTTTCAAAATGGCGGGTGGAGATGATTCAATAACTGTTTCATGACCGAACAAACTCATACACAAACAGCCATCGTAAATGCTGTTATTATCCTCGTCCAAGGTGTTTAGATTATTTAAAACGTTGCGCAGCTACGCCAAGTTTCATGAAATCGATGGTAAGTTTATTGCGCAGCTATGCAGTACATTTGTTGTGTAAGTCCTAAGCATGGCGTAAGTTACACACTGTTTTCGTGAAATCGGCTGCAGATTTCATACAATACAATCCACTTTAGACCTTCATTCTGAACAACAGCAAGCACAATGCTTTTGCCATTACTGGGGGTGGGGAGCTGTTATGGGTATACACTGATTCTACCTCAAAAGGATTGTGTGCTTTGTGTGATATATATGCAAAAGTTGCAAAATTTGAAAATGAAAGAGCAAAAATATGCAAATGTGAAAAAAGCACAAAGACATGCGGAGGTTTTGAAGAACAAAGATAAAGTGGTGACAACTTTCACATGCGATGATGAGTATCTTTTTCAAACTAGCAAACCATAGCACTACTGCCACAAGCCTCAACATGCTTTCTACTGCTTTCAAAACTTAATGCAACATTCCCACTCCCCCCCAAAAAAACAAATTTATAGTTTGGTAGTAAAATGAGCTTTGTAATGACTGGTATTTGTGCCAAGGAATGGCACTGAAATGTGCAATGAAACTGTGATTGTCAAATTATTCTTCATTTTGACAGGGTGGGGGACATCCAATAGATTAAAGGTTTGCACTTTTGGTTATGGTTGTAGGTGCATGTGGTTCTGAAAATGAACTGACTATCTCAATGTGCCAAACTATGTACTCTGTTGATCTAAAGGAGAAAACAAACAGAAGATATTATGAAAATCAAACTTTCATTGAAGAAGAAACAAACACGTCACAGCATCAGGTTAGTAATGAGACGCGGACACATTAGCAGCCAGATGAATTGAGCGAATACCTTGGGCAGTGATTTGAACTTTTCCTTGATATTTTTCCAGATAGGGCCAATGAATGTAGCTTTAGGCAATCGATCAATGCCGATTAAAACTGCCTGAAATGAAAACAAAAGCCATGCAAACATAGGGGGAAAAGCTTGTAAACTGCAAGAGAAAAGAAATACCTGGTCTTTCTCAGACTTATACTTGTCCTTAATGACAGCCCATACTGACGCAGTGAATGTGGGTTTGATTACTTGATCAACACCACCCAACACAACCTGTAAGTTATTCATATTGTGGAAAAAGATGGTATTATTAGATAGTGGATTGACATGAGTAACATTCTCATAACTAACTTCAATACCATGAAGGCCCTAGGTTTGAATGCCTTTAGACCTGTCTGATACCACTGAATATGCTGAAGGTTTGAGCACATTGAAACGAAAAACAGTTATCTGTACTTCGCATCATATGTGTACGAACCATTGCACGATTGTGGTGTGTCCAACATACTAGAGATGTTATGAGCACACAGCAAAGTTCTATACTGGCAAAACATGATTCTGTGGCACACAATTCGACCATGGCACATCATAAAACTTTCTCCTCTACAAATTAGTGGGCCTGGCATTGATCCTAGTAGAATCACACGGGGGGGGGGGGGGGGGGGGGGGGGGGGGGGGGGGGGGGGGGGGGGGGGGGGGGGGGGGGGGGCCTAACTTGTCTTGCAACCTTTCAAATGTATTCTACTTGGAACCAAATGTCAGTCCTTTTTTTTTAATGTATAAACGGATGTATTTCAGGTCATACCAGTCGGTAATCAAAGTGAAGCAACTTTTTATTTCTTACACTAAACATGAGACCAACAAGTTGAAGTACAATATGCCAAGTGTTCCAAAAGTGTATGCCAAAGTTCAGATTTGGTAGCAGGTATATACCTACAATGCCCAGTGACGTGTACATGCCAGTGATGACTTAAATCACATTGTTCAAACTTGCAGACTGACAGACTTGTTAAAGAGAACAATGACTAAAAGTCAAATGTTAAAATATTAATCAATACAATGAAACTACAGGAAGTGTTTCAACAGAATATCCGAAAAGATTGTTCTGATCACCTTTGCTTCTTCTTCTGACACCTCCCCATCGCCATCCGAATCAAATTCTTTGTGGTCAGCCAGTTCGTCTGGAGTAATCCTGCATAAAGACAATAGAAACTTATTAGTCACTTGTCATAGTCCGGTCTGAACAAACGTAACTGGCACAGAAGCATTGGCTAGTTGGACACAGTGTGAAAGAATACACGACTTGAGCAATATCATTAATGGTATTTTAATCCAATAATGCATACATGAAACAGAATTAAGTTATGTAACTTATCATGTCATAAACTGTAATAATGTGGTGCTTATACAGGGTGGTCAAAAAAACAAACGGCATACTTCCACTACCTTGAGACTCAATCCACCTGTACCAATTGATGGAGAATCCTTTTAGAAGAATTATGATACCAAAATATCCCGATTCGGTCTAGTAGTTTTTACTGCAGAGCCTATTTTGTGAAGCACAGTTCTTTCATATGGGTATTACTACATAACAATCCCTCTATCAATTACAATGTAAGTCAAATTCCCGGGCATGGTTTAGTAATTCATCAGGACAAAAATGACCCCCACCTTGCTTCACTAAATAAGGTCTATAACTAAAACTACTGGACTGAATCAGGCGATCTTGGTTTAACTTTTCTTCTAAAAAGATTCTCCATGCATTGGTAGATGTTGTTTGAGTCTCAGAGTAGCGGACGTATGCCATGTCGGTTTTTAAGGACCACCATGCTTTATACCAAAGGTCTCAAAGCGCTTCACAATTATTACCCCTGTTCATCAGGCCATGAGACCATATTGTTTTTGCTGCAGCTTGAGATCAGGGCTATCTGGTCTCTACCCTCACTGATACCCATTGATACTCCTGGGTGTACAGAGGCAATTGTAGTAAAGTGTCTTGCCCAAGAACACAAGCACCATGAATTGTTCCCCTTGTCAGGGTTTGAGCCCATGTACTGTCACACATGAGTCGAACAACGTAACCATTGGACCAAGGCACTCCACAAACTGTGATCCTACTGATGTAACTACAATACTTTAAACAATGTTTTTGAAGTTGATGAGAATAGGATATCAAGTTGTACCAAAAATGGATAGGCCATCTTTTGCATAAGTGTACGACAGTTTTATGTTATTTGGGTTTTACATGTGAGCAAAGTTGGAATGTTTTCTGGTCTCAGAGTCTTTGTAATTTAGTCTCGGAAATGTATACCACGTGCACCAAGGTTTACATGAGGTTTCTGTTGATATATATCGTTATGTACAAAATGTTGCTAGTCTAAACCTAAGTTTCCATTACTTTCTAATATTTATGAATCTCCACTTTCAGAAAATACTGAAGAGTCAAATCACAAAAGTAAGCAGATGATGACACAATAGTGATGTCTATAGAATAGCCCCCTACTCACAGCCCATTTCTGTCTGCATCTAGCTCATCAAATGCCTCATTAGCTCGTTGTTTGTCCCTTTCTTCTCTCAGGACGGCTTGCTGTGCATCCCATACTGCCTTGTGTGCATCCTTAGCCTCTTTCTCAGGGCTTTCTGCCTCTTGCTTTAACCCTGTTTTTGACAAGAAGTTATTTTATATAAAACTGTGAGGCATCAAATGACAAGTAACCACAAAACACAATCACAATGTGGGCAGTCAATATAAAATAAACAAAAGCTACAGAACTCTTTACTATTTAATACAATCTTTTTTGCAATCTTGTTTGCAAATTATGCCCTTCAAAATCCAAACCTAATTTTAAACACATAAAAATGTCCCTCTTATTAGTGATGCAACTTGTCTTTATAAGCATGTTTAATTCCTGCTGACTTGTCAATAGTTTGGACTGACTTACTCTCTTTTTCATCTTTAAGCTGATCAGCAACTTCCTTCTCCTCTCTGAGTTTTTTAAGTGATTCCTACAAATAAACATTCAGACATATGGAAAGTAAAGATAAAATGGACGTTTTCTGAAATCACTAGTTAATGTCAATTTTTTTAATTTTGTTGAGACAGCACTTGCTCATTTCATTGCATATATTTTATAAAGTATTCTCACTGTGTAGGAGCATATCACATGTAATGGTTAGTTTGGATTTTCTTTAGTTTACATGGAGATACGATTGGTGCAGGGGTTCTGTGATGACTCTGATTCCATTGCTGCAAGAGCCACTATGTGGAACTGTTTTTCCTCAATTGTTTTCGCCAGGGTTTTCCTCATTTAAAAAACTGGATTCAAGGCTCAGACCCGACAGAGAACAGTATTAAAACTAAATCACTGTTCAAGATACCCTGGATAAGAAAGAAGCTTACATATTGAGAAAACCTGACGCAAATTGATACACAATGAAAGAACAATGCTAGATGTTCCGCTGTTGTGTACCTCTCTCTCGGCTTTCTTCTCAATGCCCTGTTTGATGTATTCCTGTCGGACATCAAAGCCCTGGTTCATCAAGATGATTTCCTGCTGACGACGCTCAAGATCAGCTCTACCCAATTCCCTGCAATTATTGCTGCATTGAGTAGCTCCTGGTCCTTTGTATTCATCTGAGGCATCACAGCAGTCTGCACACACACACACATAATTAAGTGAAGACTTTTCTTCATGCTAAACTGGAGGAGGGGGTTAAGTTTACGTCTAATGCTTGTCATCATTATGCAGGATGACATTTTAAGCAGAACAACTTCCCTGACTTGAATTCTGCTTTAGTGGCGCCAAGTTTCAAAGGCCAGTTTATAGCCGGTCACTGGATGGTTGCACATCTGACAACTTGATGCATAATTATCTGAAGTATGGTTTCAATTCAGTGACAGTCACCCAAGGACATTAATGACATCACTACAGAATTCAAATAATCATTGACATGGTTGCTGACTTCACTTTTGCTCACTGGACTTTTAGAACTGCTTGACTGGTAAGAAACAATCGATATACAACTAATGGTGAGAGAAATAATCACGATATTTCTCTCCACCTGGGAGTCATCTCAATAATTATCTCGGATAAGTTGCAGAAAGTTTATCTGCAATAGGCCCATCACATCACGTGTTTATCGCAAGATTCTCAATAATTATCCCCAATTTTCACGTAACCAAATTATCAGTTTGTAAACAATACTGATATCTCTATCGCGGGAAGACTCTAGGGAAATTGTTCAGAATCCTACAAAAAATACCTGATACAATGGGCCTATTACAGATAATTTCTTTCAAAATTTATCCGGGATATTTCTTGAGGATGTTCCTTACTGTGATTTGGCAAAATAGAACATATTGGTTCCAGCACAGTACAAGGCATAGTGCAATGAATGAATAAATACCTACCACAAATACCATCATTTACTCTTGATGAAGGAATGTACTTGGGTTTGAATCCTCTGTTGTTGCAATGGAATTTACCCTGTGGGCAAGCTGAGGTTCCTTCAAATGCAAAGAAAAAATAATTATGTCTCATTATTACAAGTGGTTACTTTGTTTGATTAAGGGAATACATGTAAATGTGGGCTTGGCTGGTTTTAAACACTATGCTTAAGACCGGTTTGGAGTCTGGACGCTGATAATGACTCGAGCCGATTGATTTTGTTGAACAAGTTCACTTCATGTTTTTTTAAACAGCCCTCTAGCTATGTTATGGTATGTGCCTCTCGCAAGTAGTCGTAAACAACTCCTTACATGGAGATTGGCGCACATTGCGCGTACTGCGTGATGTGGTGCCGAACGCAGCTGTGCCAGTGTAGTGTGAATTTAGGGATCTATTATATGTGTAACCGAGGATTTGTGAACGTTCAACCAATAAAAGGGTAAAAGAGACCGGATTTCATAGGAGTCCAAATTTCATGTGACACTGGAAAAGTTTTTAAGACCAGCCAGCCGGTGTTTTATCAACCGTTTAAGACCGGCGACTTGACGGGCTCTCGACCAACAGCAATGGGTAAACTGTCCTAGGTATTTACGAATGGTATTTAAATGTTTAAACTCTAAAGAGGCTGCTGCCTGTCACTGGATATCATTGTGGAGATCCATGGCCTCACGGTAGCTATGTTGAGCTAGGCAAGACACTTTGGCATCACGTCTTCCCTCCGTTCATTATTTAAATGTGTACCTAAAAGGGTAGAGGTGGTTATCAAGTATGTGGCAAAATGACAGCTTTGTACTGAGTTGAAAAGGCCTACAGAGTGTTTTGATGGGCCCAAAAATGTAGTACCTTGATCACCATTATTGCCAGGTACTTGAAATTATAACTAAAACAGAATGTTCTTCACAAAGCACAAATATCAGCAGGTTGCTCAATAGTAAAATGTATAAAATGACCACTATAGTGACCACTATAATGTCCCCTGGGTCACCTTTCACCTAAACCTGCAATAATTTCCTCTCAATAGAGGTGTAATTGACCACATGTGGCTGAAATAAGTCACAAAAATGTAGGAAAAGAGCCTCTTTGCATGTTTTTCATAAAATGGCCACTGCTGACCACTGGCAATGGTGACCTTTGACCCAAATATACAAATAGATATGTGGGGTTCTCGTAGATCAATACTTTCTTCTTTCAAGTCTGGGAAAACTATGTTTATTCAAGAGACTATTTTCATTCTCAAAATTTAAAGTTGGGATAGTTTTTATATATTGATAAGGGAAAATAAGAGTCCGAGAATCTAAGTTTCTTGCAGTGATTCCATTGAAACTACTTTGATCTACTGTTCATGAGCAGAACCCTTGGGTGCAGTAGCTTACCTGGTTCATCTGAGGAATCCATGCAATCACAATAATCATCGTTGACTTGACTTTTAAAGATTTGTCTTGATCCATCTAGGCAAGTAAACCATTGTGAATCTCGGTAGAATGGCTCATCTGGTCAGCAAGATTACAAGGGGAAGGAAAAGAGAAATGGCCTTAATAATGAATACCAAATAGTCTTCAAGCTTCATCTGCAAAATTACATGTATGAGACCATTATGGCCTTAATATTTTTGTAAAATTGTATGGAACTGCTTTTTTTAAAAAGACTTTAACCCTCCTACTTTCTGGTCACACAAAACCAACAAATTTCACTCTGCCAATTTTGCCCATAGGATTAGCAAACACCATACCACCACAGTCCTGTGGCAAGTCCATTGACCATGCGTTGCAGTATGGTCAACAGACTTCACCGTGATGTGCACTGTGTAGTGTATGGTTTTGTAGGGTCAGTATAATCTGCTGTGTAATAATTTGTGCATGGTTTTGTAGGGTCAGTGTACTCTGCTGTCATGGGCGTCACAGGGGGGGGCAAGGGAGGGTGCTTGCCCCCCCCCCCACCTGGAAAACGAAAAAAAAAAAGGAAAAAAAAGAGGGAAAAAAAAGGAAAAGAGGTGTGAAGCCACATTGCTGTTTATTTGATGGGGGAGGGGGGGGGTGTAGGGCAAATGCTTTCCTGCTCAAGCTTGGAAAAATGATAAATTGAGAATAAAATGAAAAAGTTAAGAAATTTTGGGGAGAAATTTGCTTTACTTCCTATCGTCACTATCGAAGAAAAACGAGTTGCGCTGAATCAACGACTGTTGCGTGTAGTGATATGTGCCCTGCGCCGTATGGGCTTTTTGCGCAGAGCACATATCATATCAGAGCACATATCATATCAACAGTCGTTGATTCAGCGTGACTCGTTTTTCTTCAATAGTGACGTCACACGCACTCGACGATCTACCAAAAAATGGATGGCACAACTCGGTAGACACATTTAATTGTAAGTGGTAAGTTTATCAGAATATTTCGTTATTTTTTCAAAATTACCGCTTGTTGGGAACAATTTAAGGGGTCTTTATATGGCATGTCATGAATGTGTAGATCTGTCCAAGGTAACTGTTTTTTTTCATTTGTATTCTCTTTACCAATTTTTTGGGGGCCTTTTCTCGTATCGGTGATGTGTAGTCAAAGTATGCCGATTCGGTGGAGCGCTTGTAGTTGTACGGAGGGTACCGAAGTACCAGCGCTCCACTCAGTAGAGCTAACCTGGGCTAGAGTAGCCCCATATTGTGGCCAATTTACTGGACTACCTCCGTAAATAAAGGCCACACTTCGGCGATCGTGAAGTGCAGGGCCCCTGTTTTGTTTTGATCAAATTAAAGTCAAAATGTTTTTTATTGCTCAAAAATCACCTTTACAATCAAAAGCAGAATTTTCTCAATTCTAATGACGGTTTGTGCCTTGCGATGCAGAGCGCCATTCGTGCTCATGGTACATCGCGCAGTGATCGCCATATTTAGTTTTGGGTCGCGTGTTGTCGTCGTGCTGTCATCGTCATTTTACCCCCAAATTTCCCTCAAAAATCAAAACCCTGCCCTCTATCTATGACATACCTGTTTATTGAGAATGTCGCCAACTAGTTTGGTAGGTCCAATCATTTTAAAGTGGATTTTGTTCCCTTATAGGAACCGGGCCCTACACTACACGATCGCCCACACTTCCACCATGTACAAAAACATGTCGAACTTTGTCAAATTTTGATTTTCACATTTAGGCTTAGTTTGTAGTTTATTTTTGCTTTAGAAGCATACTCACCATAGGCTAATCAAAAAGTGCTGCCTTTTGAGATGTCTATATTTCATGAAATTTCCAGATTCGTTTGCACACGTTTGTGTATCAAAATTTCAACATGATATTTCACGAAAATTAATTAGACATCTGAAAAAGGCAGCACTTTCTGATTAGCCTATAAAGAGGGCGAGAATGCTTTTCTAAAGCGAAAATAAACTACAAACTAAGCCTAAATGTGAAAATCAAATTTGACAAAGTTTGACATGTTTTTGTACATGGTGGAAGCATGAAGTGTGGCCTTTATTTACGGAGACGTAGGCTAGGCCAGTAAAAATTGGCCACTTTTACGGGGCTAGGGCTAGAGTAGCCCCATAAATGTGGCCTATTTACTGGACTGCCTCCGTAAACATAGGCCACACATCCACATGTACAAAAATCATGTCGACTTTGCCAAATTTTGATTTTCACATTTAGGCTTAGTTTGTAGGGTTTTTTGCTTTAGAAGCATACTCACCCTCTTTATAGGCTAATCAGAAAGTGCTGCCTTTTTCAGATGTAGGATGGAACGCCGTATTATCGCGGTACTTATCACGTTTCTCGTTCGGAATAGAGATTGCCCACTAACCTTCCAGAATTTTCCTGTCTTATGTGTAGTATAACTCTTCCTTTTTAAATTAATATAAAAAAATCTGACGGGTGGTGTGGTTTATTCCGTGTACGATGCCTGTATGCGGGAAGTGGTTTTTATAATGATCCCAACTTTTTTGTTCACAGTTTATGTTTGACCAAAACACCCCCTGAATAAAGTCTGATATTTTCCCTGTAACGTTCAAGTTGATTAAAGACAAAATGTCTGCAGGATGATTTCTTAAGACCCTGCCCTTCCCCCGAAAGGAGAACACAAATATTGAGGCAAGTCTACTGATCGGCGATTGAGGGCGCCATTCACTTTACACGGTGTGCCGTTTTATTTTCGCTAACGCGCGGTGCTTATTTTGATCCCGTAAAAGTTGTTACGATTTCCCGCTGCAAATATCGTCGTTCGACTTCATTTTACATTTGCAGCTGAAGAATGGGAACTAGACAATGGAACTTTCATGGACAGAGCGCAATCAAAGATTTATGTTAAAATATAAACGGTACCTTTTAGCAGACACGGTGAGGGAAAATTTTGCAAGTTTTGGAAAACGTTAATATTTATTAAAATTGTTAAAAGTCCCGAAAGACACAACATTTTTAATCGTCCTTTTTATAAAACTCGGTAGAAAATCCTTGATGACTGGTGAACTGGATGAAAATCGCCACTTGAAGGAGTTTTGACACTGTAAAAAGAGAAATTTCCCATGCCGCGATAATAGGGATGCCGCGATAATAGGGAGTCCGACTATATATTTTTCGTGAAATTTCCAGATTCATTTTTACACGTTCATCATTCATGTGACGTTTGCGTATCAAAATTTCAACATGAAATTTCACAAAAATTAGACATCTGAAAAAGGCAGCACTTTCTGACTAGCCTATAAAGAGGATGAGTATGCTTCTAAAGCAAAAAAATCATACAAACTAAGCCTAGTAAATGTGAAAATCAAAATTTGGCAAAGTCGACACGATTTTTGTACATGTGGATGTGTGGCCTATGTTTACGTAGGTAGTCCAGTAAATAGGCCACATTTATGAGGCTATGTTTACGGAGGTAGCTCCAGTAAATAGGCCACATTTATGGGGCTAGTAGGGCTAGATTTACTCAAGTTAGGTCCTATAAAGACAATACTTACTTGTTAAGGACACACCGCGTGGCCGAGTCACTGATTCTGTTACAACTACATCTATAATACTCATTAAGCCAATCAACACCAATGTAATCAGTGATTTCACAGACATTTTCTTTGCCTTCATGTCACTCACGCACGCCGCCATTCTCTCGACCCGACGAAACATCATCCCCGTACGTACGTACGTGCGAACATACGTAAGTGTAGCACTCAAGTTCAATGTGTGTTACAGGCGGGATCGAGGTTTAAACAACGTGTACTGCTGATGACTGGAATAAAGGTCATTTATAGAGGGCGCACTTTGATTTCTGGATTCCCCCCAAAAACTTGCAGAGACTCGGTAGCATAAAATGGCACGACAGTAGGAGCGCGTGATGAATATGCATGACTATGACGTCACTAGAAGCTCATGAGTAATATATCACGCACGGTACTGATAGATATACATGTAGATGCACACTGTTATGTGCTGCATCCACTGATCTCTATATAAAGACTGGATAGCTAATACAGAGCCGCACAGTTGTCGTTTTTATAGACAGCATGATTTCTTTTGTAACGTCGCGGTTCACTTGACTTATATTTTGACCACCATCACTGACCAAGGTTAACTACAATTTTTCTAACGTCGTGGTTACTAAAATGCCGCAAATATAACTTTTTCGGCGTTTTGAAATAATAATCATTACGGAAATGTGTCCCTTTTAGAACATCATAATATGTGTACGTGACCAAAATGCGCGTCAACTGTTGATACAACGCGCGCGTATTTACACGTAGAACGTTCGTATTATACGCGGCCATCTTCGTGAGACCGGGGGCGAATTGGTCAATATGCAAAGTCTACTGTGTGAATGTTGTATGCATATCCGCTATCCAGTCTTTATATAGAGATCAGTGGCTGCATCCCACCGATGATATCACATTTAACAAGTCCTCTTTCTACTGTCGCGCCGCCACCCTCTAGTGTCGTCCCACTTACCGACGATATCACATTTAACAAGTCCTCTTTCTACTGTCGCGCCGCCACCCTCTAGTGTCGTCCCACTTGATGATCATCAGTTAGTGGGGCAACAGTAGAGGGTGGCGGCGCGACAGTAGAAAGAGGACTTGTTAAATGTGATATCATCGGTAAGTGGGACGACACTAGAGGGTGGCGGCGCGACAGTAGAAAGAGGACTTGTTAAATGTGATATCATTGGTTAGTGGGACGACACTAGAGGGTGGCGGCGCGACAGTAGAAAGAGGACTTGTTAAATGTGACATCATTGGTAAGTGGGACGACACTAGAGGGTGGCGGCGCGACAGTAGAAAGAGGCCTTTCTAAATGTGATATCATTGGTTAGTGGGACGACACTAGAGGGTGGCGGCGCGACAGTAGAAAGAGGACTTGTTAAATGTGATATCATCGGTAAGTGGGACGACACTAGAGGGTGGCGGCGCGACAGTAGAAAGAGGCCTTTCTAAATGTGATATCATTGGTTAGTGGGACGACACTAGAGGGTGGCGGCGCGACAGTAGAAAGAGGACTTGTTAAATGTGATATCATCGGTAAGTGGGACGACACTAGAGGGTGGCGGCGCGACAGTAGAAAGAGGACTTGTTAAATGTGATATCATCGGTAAGTGGGACGACACTAGAGGGTGGCGGCGCGACAGTAGAAAGAGGACTTGTTAAATGTGATATCATCGGTAAGTGGGACGACACTAGAGGGTGGCGGCGCGACAGTAGAAAGAGGACTTGTTAAATGTGATATCATTGGTTAGTGGGACGACACTAGAGGGTGGCGGCGCGACAGTAGAAAGAGTGACGTCATAGTCATGCATATTCATCACGCGCTCTACTGTCGTGCCATTTTATGCTACCCAGAGACTCATAGTCAATCAAATAGACCTTGTCATTTCATTCACTCATGTTTTTTCTTTCTCAAAAAGTTGTTTCAAAAGTAGTTTTGCAATGTGAGAGCGTGAAACAATCACACAATTCGATGGCTTTTATCATTGCTGGAAATACGTGCATGCAAGGCAGAAAATAGTTTCCGCGTTAGATGTAAATACACTTTTGTTTTTAAAAACTTTTCTCCCGGATAAAAATATGACACGATGTCCACTCCTTTGACCCAGACCTTCAAAATATGGCTAAATAATCTGAAATAATATGGGATTTCTCATACTTTTACTGTTGTTATACTTAGTGTACTTTTCACCCTTGCAATAATGAACTTTTAAAAAAATTCCATTAAATTTCAAGTCAATGTAAAACTCCCGTTTGAATTGATATCTTTTAAAGGTGTTTTTTTTTACTGCACCGTTGAACACCTGTGTTAATCGATTCCATTGTTTTTAGCGCTAACCTGAAATCATGTTTATTACTCTCCGTTAAAGAGGCACTGTCGACCTGAAAGTACCCTCTTGGGCTCTAAAACCGTGCGTTTCTCACGCGGCATGAAACTGTCACATAACCAAACCTGGACAATCACGCATTTTTTTTCGGAGTGTGCCACTAGTTTTTTTTTGGTTTAGTTAATTGTTTAAGCAGGTTGCCGTATTTGTATTGCCACAGTATGCATTTCATTTGTACAATATTTAGCTGCGTTGATGCGATTCTAACCGGTGTGATCAAGCGAGAATTTCCATGATGTCAACAATTAAAGTTCCATCCATGCCATTGTGACGTTCGCCGTTACCCTAACGCATTGCTTTAACTATTCATGATGAACCGGCGGAGTGACACGCTCAAAATTCGATGGCTCATTCGTCATTGGCACAGCGAAACAGCTGCTGCGTCAGATGCAGACGACATCAAGTGGGTTTTTTCCCCCATAATTTTCTCCTTAATGTAAGATATTTTATTTTACTTGGATTTTGGCTGACCTTATTGGCTAGATAACAATAGATTCTGAAAACAGTTAAATTTAGCAGAAAACATTTAAACTTTCTATGGTATACGGGGCGTTGCGCTGATACGGGTTTCTTCTTATCTCGCCAACAGGCAACAATTCACTTCCTTCAAAAACGTCAAGTCCTCGTGCCAAGAAATTCGACATGGGGTTCCACAAGGCTCCATTCTCGGTCCACTTCTTTTTCTGCTTTACATTAATGACTTACATTTTTCATCTCCACTTCTTGCTGACGACACAACTATTACTTACTCTGACTCCAACCCTTAATCTCCAATAGATATCATGAATGCCGAACTCACCAATGTCTGTTCCTGGTTTAAAGCCAACAAAACTTTCTCTTAACCACCATAAAACTAAATTCATGCTCTTCAGCAAATCTTCTCATCACCCAGACGGCACTGCTACTCTTCACATCGATAATCCTCCTATCACCCAAGTTCACTCCTGCACCTTATTATTACTATCGACGACTGAGAAGCTATCTTGGTCTGACCACACCTCTCCCATCACTAAAGCCATTTCACGAAACACGGGTGTCAGTGTCTAAACTTCGCGCTTTTCTTCCTCCTAAATCATTAATCTTACTTTAAAACTCTCTCATTCTTCCATATCTTAACCATTGTAATATCGTATGGGCACGAGCTTAATAACAAACTCCATTCACTAATCATCACTCAAAAAAGAGCTATTAGGATTTGCACGTCACATCCCCGTGAGCACACTGCACTCTTTTCCATCAGTTGCATACTTTAGCACTTCCAGAAATAAACCAGCTTCATACGGGCATCTTCATGAACAAATTTACCAAAAACCTATTACCCTCCCCCTTTTCTTCTTTACTTCAGTTCCGATATCCAACCAGTTCGCGTAACAAATCACATCTTTATGTACCTATATTACACACGCACATCATACTCATGAAATACACTTCTTCGTTTCTGCGGGCCTCGTCTCTGGAACTGAATGCCGTTGACGAATCTACGAAATATCTTTCTTTTGTACGTGGGTCGCTTCAAACATGCCTAGAAAAGAGCTCTCATCTCTCAATATGTAACATAGCTTGCTTCTCATTTGGTTTTTCAGCAGTTGTTGTGTGTGTGTTTTTTTTGGGGGGGGTTCTCTCTTAATAGTTACGTTCTGTTCTAGTTCATAAAGTTCATGATAATAGGTTCTGTCTCGGTCCAACTGTCCGTGTGTATTTGTTCTTGTTTCTGTTTTGTGTTTGTCCGTTCAAGCCATCTCGCCACAAGCCTAGGCTTCCGGCCAGAAGATGCCTCCATACCTTTCTATATTTTCACCTTTTTGACAAACTCTCTTTCTTGATTTATGTACTTAATCGTGTATTCTATGCTTGTATTTATCATTTTGGTATGCGAAATAAATGTGAGTTTTGAATTGGAATTGGAATTTGAACTTGCGTCCAGCTGACCCTAGCTGTATAGCTAGTCAGCTGGGATGCAAGTTGACTGAGTCACATCCGACAACAGGTGCCTTTACGGTGTATGCTATGAAACGCAAACCGTATTATTATGCGAGGGTCCGGACGAAAGTCACTTTAATGTTACAAAGTTCAAAAGGGTAAAACGTGTACATAAAAACAGTTACTGCGCATATCGTACATAGTTATAGTGCAAAGTCCGTCTTATATACAACTTGACAATGTTGATAATTATTATTTGTAGGCCCTACTTGCCCTTGGTACCTTGAAATGCATAATAGTCACGACTCTGTTATAAAAACAGGCGTCTTGCGTAAACAAAACATGGTTGTAACGTAGCCATTAAGATATAGTTATCACACATTCTTTGTTGATTTACGGTCGGTGTTTATTTCAGTCAAGCCATATAACAACAGATAACATATCTGCAAGGCTTGAATGGCTTTACTGCGTAAAAAAATTAACCCACTACTTTTACCACGAATTATAGAACTGAGCTAAAGAATAGCCAGAGTGGAATTCTGAATATGAAGCGCACACTTACTGAGCATTCATACAGAGCTACCGAGGAGGGCGGGCTTTTAGTAACGGATGGTGAACGGTCGTACTGTGAACTCTGAGATGAGGAACACACTGAGATTGCGTTGATTGTGGAGTGAATAAGTCAGGTAGGTATCGCGACAGTGCATATGCAAATCAAGATATAACGATTTTCACATCAGGTGAGCTATCAGCTGTTCTGTAATCTGTAAACAAAGCGATGAGTAATAATATGAAAATAAATTCCTTGACATGCACAGGGAGCCCTTGGAGCCCCGCGAAAATCCGATGCGATGAGCTTTTAACATAAACATGTGTGCAAAATAATGTCAATCAATAGTTGATCACTAAACTACAGTACAACAAGAGCAAGGATCTGTATCCGTTATACAACAAAGGAGGAAGGACAACCACAGAGGAAGTGTTTGTGTTTCATCCTCCATCCACGGAACAGCAACAGAATGACTTAACATGGCGCGCTAAAATTCAGTATAGCCTGCATGCATTGTACTATTATGTGCGAATGCACTGTATATACGTGAACCGGCTAGCGCTGATATCTTCACGTCGATATCGCACAAGGGCAGTTCGCGCAGTAAACATCATTATCAGCAGGGGTCATTTTTCAATGACTGATATAGAGCGATATGGTCACGATCGTGACCGCTGACCTCTACTGCCTATATGTAGCATAATGAAAACAAAGGCTATTTTACACGACGCACTTGACCCTTGCAAATCGTCTCTGTTTCGCGTACAGAGTCTATGCTTGTATACTTCAATGAGGTTTAAATCTCTCTTGTCACTTTAGGTCACGTATAGCATCATCATCATGGTATCAGTTGAACCATAGATCTGTTCCTTGCTTATCATGGAACTAATGAGAATATACCACTGCCGACTATAATTAGTATTTCCATGGAGCTATGGATAAACACAGGTTTGGACCATGCTTGCAGCACATGTATCAAAGCAACCAGGAAATATCGGCACCTGTGCATTAGATCATCATTGATGTCAGTCGCATGAGGAGTCGAAGCATCTTCGTAAGACGAGAGGAACACAACCACATCGACAAATGATTCGTCTGCGAGTTTGGTGGTGGCGCTGGGTCATTCCTGTTGTGGTGTGCCTACAGTATTGTCTGACATATGGGATTTTGTACAACTACAGCATTTTATTCGTGAGTCTGCTGAAAGAGTTTAACTCCACAGCTGTACTGGCAGGTAAGGGAATTATCTGCACTACAAGGTTTTCTTAAAAAACAACACATGTGATATACCAATGAAGTATGTCTTAAAATTAGACAATGCTCTCCCTCTCATCTGAGTTAAGAAAGAATTACTGAAATGTATCAGAAGTTATGCATGTTTTCAAAGAACCTGTTTTCATAGCTGTCCATGCAATGCCATTGGAAGCTATTGTGCTGAGTGAGAATTACAAATTACTCGACGTCACAAGTGATGTCGCAAAAAAGCAGCCACTGCGTACACCACCAGCTTTTCCTTAAAAAAATGGTTAAAGTGGTCAGAAATTGCCTCGGATTGCACCATAGAACATCTAGAATCCAAAAAATTCAGGGACCCTTAAGCGGGCCCCGAACACCACGCCGTAAATTTTTGGACCCACTTTTTTGGTGACCAAAATTTTGTTTTGCCCCCAAAACAATTGATCCGCCCTTGGACATTGGAATTTTGAAGGACATGTACAGTATAATTGGATTTCTCTAATCATTAAAACTGGTGTTTGCATTTTTTTAAGACCTTGAATCACCAATTTTGTGTAAAAATAAATGAAAGGTGGTCACTTGCTGATAAATAATAAATAATATTTGTGCTTATAGCGCTTTCCATCGTATCAACAATCTCAAAGCGCTTAACAATATTATTACCCCGTCGTTCATCAGGCCATGGGACCACGCGGCAGCCGATATAAGCGCTCAATCGGTCTTCGACCCTGGTCTGAGGTACCCATTTATACCCCTGGGTGGAGAGAGGCAATTGTAGTTAAGTGTCTTGCCCAAGGGCACAAACACCATGTTCCTGGCAGGGTTCGAACCTTAACAAACGCACCTTCGTACATGAGTCAAACACAGCCCGTAACCACTGGGCCATGGCGTTCTGATCCATGTACACATTTTATCCTTCAACAAATTATGTACCTTTCGTTCCATGTCACCTCTCTACACTTTACCATACATCTGTCCTTGCGACTTTTTGTAATGGGCCTACAGCCTTAGTCTCTAGCTGCATCAAAATATGACTTGCGAAGTTATCTTACGTGAAATTTCACGAAATTATACATCTCAATGCAAACACTAATAATTTTTTTTTTTAAAGTACCACTAACGAAAAAGTAATATATTTTTGGAGCGTAATATTATCCGTATTCTATTGAATTAGAGTTTATTTCTAAAAGTTTGTGACAGTTCGGCTGTTACTTGCAATACAACTGAAAAATTAATGTGAGGCCCTATTAGGCCAAACCGAAGTCTGCGGTTTCTGGTATGGAGCTTGCCCCAAAAGTGGTGCGGCGACGCGTTTTTCCCCCTTTGCTTTTCTTTTCTTCAAAAAAGGTGTGTGTTTGTGCTATATATTAATATGTGACCTTGCTTGAGATGCACGAATAAGCCACTTTGTAATAATGAATAGATAACTGGTGGCATATAAAAAGAGTAAGATTAATGGTGAAAATACACATGTACAGGCATCTATTGTTTGTTGAGATTGATAAATCAAAATTGCCAAAGTATGATCTGTCTCAAATTAGGTTTTGCCCTTCACCGACGTTTTTTTAAACACTGTATACTCAGTGTGCTACCTCCCGAGTGAAAGTTGGAAAAAAGCACTCGGGTGGGACTCGAACCAACGACCTCTTTTTTTCTAGTGCAGATGTCTTACCACTCGACCACCGAGCTAACGGGATCGGTTGGCCGGTTCGAATCTGATGTGCATAGCAAAAGGGCAAAACCTAATTTGATTTATATCACCCCGACGCAAAATCCCATCTTATGATCTGTCTCTTGTATACTCTTTATTTCACAAGTTTGGGAAACTTTTTGAGTTGAAATGACAAGACTGAAAATCAAACTTGCATGCAAAAGTAGGAATATTCCTAATCCTATGGGGTGAAGAATAAGATATTTTTCAATGTCCAACAATTTGTTCACCTCATAGTAATATTATTTGAATTGCACTCCACAAACTGAAACATAAATATTCCTGGCAATGATATGCAAAATGGGAACCCTTTTTTGAGTTCAAATGACAAGAATGAAAAAATTAGAGAAAACGGTAACGTCAGACCATACAGACATCGACATCATGTGCTGCCAGGCTGCGAATATTTCATTTACACAACAGAACAGGGTTTCCATTTTTTCAGGCGACTTGAATCAAGGTTATAGGATTGTAGAGCGCCGCGTAACCTTTTACCTACGCGCGCGCGTATACTCTCTCCACATTGTGTGAAACTGTATATAATTTATGATTATTGCAAGGTTTGGTCAAGCACCGCCGTTGCCTAGTGGTTGTGCATGCTGGCTAATGATCAGAGGTCTCGAGTTCGGTTCCCCGCTCTGCACCCTTAAGATTTTGCTCTTTTTTTCCAGCAATTTAAAGTTTTATCGTAAAAACGTTATTTTTCAGTCGGATACTACTTGTATAGCAGCAATTTTCTTTTTCTTTTCTGATCGGGCAAGGCTCTGGAGGATTTTTTTTAAAAGGAAAATAAAGTCCGAAATCCGTACCAAGTTGAAAAATAGTAGCCTCCACTCAAGCCTGGTTATTATATCCATGCCCCATAGGAAAGCGCACAAAGTACCCCAGATAGTTGTGTAAAAAAATATCGCTGCCAGGCTGGTCGTTAGTCTGCGCCCTTACATATTGCGCTCGTTAAAAAGCGTTTACAGTATCCAGATACACGACCATCGCTCCCTCGGTATGGCTTCCAGACGCATAATCACAAAATTACAACACCGTCTGCAAATGGTGCCCGACTAAATTTAGTGCAAAATAAATGGGAGCCCAGAGAGGCCACATAAAGCTTATACTCGACACGTTAAAAACACGCTAGAATTATGCAGCAGCAGGATTTTAGTCAAACCAGTGAGTTTGGCGGTTTGAGACATCATCTTACATTGAAAAAAAAATAATTAATTTTGGCGACGCGCATGCCTACAGTGATGCGCGCAAACCAGAAACCTGTGACTTTTTTGGCCTTAGTACATAATACATTCAATTTGTGTAAGTGCGTCCGAAACTATGGTGTTTCGAGCCGATTTCTACTATATTGTACATCAAAAAAGGTTGGACGAATCATTGTAGTAACTAACTGATACTTTTATTAGAATAAATATCCACGTTATGGTTGCAACTATAATAAATTGAATTGCCCAAAGTACGTCCGACACCGTGGAACTGCCCTGATCACAGTTATCTCCCGCGGAGATAGTCCCCGCACCCCCCTTCTACACGACCCCTAAGTATATCAGAAGTCCAAACTTAATTCCTGAAAAAAAAAATATAATGATTCCGCGGGGTTAACGAATAACACATTTTCTACGAAATTGGAAGCGCCAAAGGGCTTATTATATTATCATGTCGGATCCGCTTTGAATTTCACTACATGTATTATATTATTGTTGAATGACTGTTTAGTTCAGTCGCAGGTCTTTGCGGTTTTTAAAATCCTTAAGTTTTCTGAAATTTCAAGATTTTTCTTTTTACTTGTGGAAGTAGTTAATAGAATTATAGCACTGAGTCACGAAAGCAACACTTGCCTGAGGTTGAATGACATGTTTGGTTCAGTCGCAGGTCTTTGCGGTTTTTAAAACCCTTAAGTTTTCTGAAATTTCAAGATTTTTCTTTTTACTTGTGGAAGTGGTTAATAGAATTATAGCACTGAGTCACGAAAGCAACACTTGCCTTATAGCCTTGGTCAATGCTCTCGTCGTTATTTGTCCCGTACGCGGTCAATCGTCGGCATATATCCTCACGCGCTATGCACATGCATGTAAAAATACAGCGCGAACAGCGACCTCACGCGGCCACTATTTTTATGCAAATCAGTTGGAGACGATGTCGAGCCTTGGTTCAATCGTCGGCCAAAGCTTATGTTTTTCTTTACTTTGCGCTAGATTTCCAGCGCACGACCTCGTATGCGAATACAGATAATGTAGGCGGGGCTAATATGTGGAGTGTCCAATCACACCTTGGTAAATCCGGACGTCATCAAATTATTTGCAGTTTTTCCGCCTTTTGCGGACGTGACAGGAACCACAGTTTTTGTGCATTGGTGCCGTGTGCAGAGACACACAATGTGTACGTGTATGGACTATGTACGGCGCTACGTTTCACTATGCAAGTTTCCACGCAACGATCGACTAATAAGAAAACGACATTTAAGGTCAGCTAAGGCTATTAACATAATGAGCACCACCCCCAAAACCTCACATGGACGATTGAACCAAGGCTCGACATCGTCTCCAACTGATTTGCATAAAAATAGTGGCCGCGTGAGGTCGCTGTTCGCGCTGTATTTTTACATGCATGTGCATAGCGCGTGAGGATATATGCCAACGATTGACCGCGTTTGGGACGAATAACGACGAGAGCATTGACCAAGGCTACAGCAAAGGCCTTTGTATAGGAGTTTATATTGCTGACTTTAAATGACCAAGTGCGTAGAGAGAATACACTTAAGTCCGCTTCCTGCGGCCAATTGTGTGTCTGCTATAAAAGTTTAAGGGCCCATGAAGTGAATTTTTTTTAGGAACGCATTTTGTGCAAATTTCTACTCCTTTTAAATGTACAAAAAATATTTGACATCCTTTTTGGTTAAATTTATGGAAAAGTGCACTTCTTTAAAGGTTTACAGTTTTCCATGCTTTTCCTGACAACTGGGGCGCGGTTTGGGGGTTTCTGTTCAATTGTAAACCATTGAAAATATTTGTGAAAAAGGTTTGCTCATACATGTACTGACACAAGTTCATACAGCAACGACTCATCAAAAATTTACGACAACGAAATATCAGAAATTCTGGCAACCTCTGATGCTGAAATAGCTATAACATGAGGTTTTTGCCTGAAATCACACTTCTGCTCATGAATATGGAAATTTGTATGAGCATAAAAACCAAAAAGTCACCAAAATACCCTTGAAAATGGCAAAATGAAAACTTAAAATAGGGTAAAGAGGGACACAAACATGCATTTCCAAGGATTGCATTAAACAATTACATTGTATGTGCCCTATCAAGCATTTTATCCAAATTAATGTCCATCTTATCTAAAATGAAATCCAAATGCTTAAAGATTATCGTGCTCACAAAATACCGGCAACTTGCACGGACACCTTTATCTTTATGCATGGCTCAGAGAAAATGAAAATCGAACGAAGGTGTTCAACTCAATTTATTCCTCTTACAATTTTAGTCGTATTAGTTTATTTGTTACTTTATTGCTCAGGTTGGCCAGGATCACTTGGCAATGCTTTGGCCGGCCTGGTGAGCCCCCTGACCGCCCTTCTGATGACGAAGATGAAATTTCTCAAAGTGGTCATCCTCGGACACGTCATCATATGCGTTGGATATCTTCTAACCTCCATCGTTCCTGCGCTAGGCTACGCCGTGTTTACCTTCGGTGTCATGGGTGGAGTTGGCGTTAACATCGTGATCCACGCGGTCACGGGGTTGGTTTTGGAGTGGTTCCCCAAGGACAATTTCGGTCGAGCAAATGGCATTGCTGTTTTAGGATCTTCGTTAGGTATACCTTAAACCAATCCAATCTATTGTTCAGGATAACCGTCATGGAACAGTTGCTCTGTATATAGCTTGCACAATACTTTCGCCATTGAAGTGCGGCTTTAAAATATTTAATTGAGGTTGCGAAGACAAATAATAGTCTTAAAAATTAACTCTGTTATGTCTTATATGGGATTGGTATAAGGTTATAGTGTACTATATAAGTATAATATCTCATTCTATAAAACAAAATGTCCAGATTGGGGGATGCAATTTGTATTCATATAGATAAGCATACCCTCTCAGAAAACAGTTGTTTGGCTTCGAACATTTTCCTTATTGTTTATTTGGTCATTGCAACGTTCTTAGTTTTGTCCGCAAGAATCAAAATCATTTTTTTAAAAATTGATTGGAGCGGTTTTCCTGGCTAGTGATGGCACATACGGGTGCACCCATTTTGTCAAGCGCCAATGAAGAAAGATATTGACAAACTGGGAAACCGTCAAGTTTTGGCTGGATATCTCAGTTGTAGAGCACTGGCACGGTAATCCGGAGGTCGCAGGTTCAAATTCCGCTCCACTCAATGTCTTTGTTCAACTGTTTGTTAATCACTTTTCTGTAAACAGTATGATTTATCGCATTCACTGTCCCCACTATGAAAAAAAACCCCGAGGTACTAAATATAATGGCTGTTCTCTCGTTTGTGTCTTGTAGGCATGTTGGCCTTCAGTCCTTTGTTAAGTACTTGCATCACTCAGTTCGGATGGCGACGGGCTCTGAGATACATCTCTGTGGGGACATTGGCGTTAGGTATCATGGTGAGCTTCTTTCTGACTGACCCACCGACGGAGGACGAGGGCAACAGTGAAGGGGGAGATGAGGGAAAACCAGGGGTAGACGAAAGGGAACGAATCGCCCTAGAGACAGTTGAAACCTTGGATCCGGACCACCCTACAGAAAGAACACTGGTGGGAGAGGGCCAAGGAGATGAAGAGGAACCCCGTGAAAACCACAAACAGAGGATCCACACGCCAAGCTGCGAAGTTAAAGGCAGCAGTAAAGGTCGTAGCAGCTTCGCTGTCTCAGAGGTATTCCGGATGATAACTGATGTCGAACCATGGGCGTGGACTATTGGAGCTTGTATGGCCATGATGAGCTGGACATTTTTCGGCATCAACTTTGTGAGTGTTATCAGTCCTGGACAAAAATTCCCAACACCAATGTGGAAACACGTGAAATGACCTCCTCTGCCATGTTCACCATACACAGGGTTTCTAAAGCTGGTCACTTATACATGTACTTTTCATACCAATCAAAAACCAGATGAACCCTCGGGGATGCTATAAAACCAAATGCTCCAAATATTGCAATCGTATTCCACACTCAGTGGTAATTACTTACTGGATTTCTCCCCAATATCATCAGTGATGTGTTTTTGTTCGTTTGTTGAATCGTCACACGAGAGAAAAAGATATGCCCATTATCGCTCTTAGGGAACCCTGATTTCTGCTAATTTGCTGGTAGCCTGGTACAATATTCCAAATATAGCGAAATGCAGCCGGACGTTACACAGGAAAAGTCAATTTTGAATCTATTTCAATGCAGCAGATCTATTTTGTTGCAAGCCCAACTGCATTGATGCTAGTTTTTCTGCCTTATTACTTGCTGTCTAAAAACAAAATGCAATTGTTAAAGTAGCTTAGAGATCTCTCTTTCGTCTATAACGCTAAGCGTCAATTTGTATGGGCTGCAACAGGGACATAAATTTAAGCCGTGGTTGGCAAAACAAAATTAGGAAAGATTGCAGATGAACACCCACATCCTGTAAGAAAGAGGCGTTTTTAATCTTTAGTTATCGTTTGTTGGTTATTTTGCATTTTCTGCAATCCGATGATACCCTTTAAAAATTAAAAACTATTCTTTATTTTTGCAACGTAGACCTTCCACTTTACAACCTGTGGTCGGCAATTGAGTGCCAACCACGGGTTGGAGAAGAAAGGTCTCTACTCCAGTATTAACAGTTCGATTCAAAACCTGATAATGTTCTCATATTCGTGTTCGAATGTTGCAGGCCAGTTTCATGGATGGCCGCGGTCTTAGCAGTGACCGCATAGCTGTGGTTATCATGTTATTTGCTATTGGAGAAATTGGCGGGAAGATTCTTATCAGCGTTGTTGGAGATCATCTACCGTGTCAACGGATCTACTTTCTGGCCTTCTCCGTGCTTCTAGGAACAGTTGCGCTGGGCGTTATGACGGTGGTTCAGACCTTTCCACAAATGATGGCGCTTTCAATATGTAAGTCAGAGACGGTATAATTTGTTTTCTTTTTATTTTATTCCTCAGGGGGAAACTTATTTATTTAGAAGAAACGTTTCTCTTGCGTTTTACAATTAGTATAAACAAATAAGAACTTAATCATTACATAAAAGAAAGAATGGATCCCAATTCGCATTAAATTTAGCAAGATTACCATTTGTAGTAAATATGAATTTTTCTGATACATAGTATCATTTTTGCTCATTCTTAAATACTAAAAGAGACGGTTTGCTAACATTCATCTTCATTTTGTAAATATGGTAACGGCATAGGAGAAGATGTAAGTTAAGGGCGCTCCAACTTTTGTTCAGTATGCCAAATAAAATCATCTCCTTATCTATACAGGCACATTAATATTCAAGGTCTTCCTAATCCAATCTGGATTTCCTAATCCAGTGCTGGTAAGGGGTGCCCCCTTTTGCTGATCTCTCTTTTTATTCATAGTCACCAATAGAATGACCACATACTGACTTACCCTTCTGCAGTCACCTTGTCAGAAAGGAGCGTGTTTTTCAATACATAGGCCTACAGCTTTTAAATTGTACATTACGGCCTTCAGTATAAATTGTATGCAGAACACTGGTAATTTTTAAGGGGGGGGGGGTCGGTCCCACAGGCGCCCATTCCCATGTGGCTTAGCCATCATAACGTTGACGCAGATGCCCAAACGCAGACTTTCGGGAAAACTTTTCTAATCAAAATTAAGGTGTTTTGTCGTTATGGCTTTTCCTAAAGCAAAACAGAATACGCCACCTCTATTGAATTTCATTGATGGTTAGCCATTTTATTGACATGTATGGGGTAATTTGGGCTTGTTTTTTTTAACGTTCCCGACGTTCGCGTGAGTGGAGCCCAACCCAGATTGTTTAGTTACCTACTGGATAGGTTATAACACCAGATGGCGCTCGTAAGTTCGTATTGATCATCAACATGCCCGCGAGGTTATATCTTATTCTTTAAAAACTGTGAATTCATTTCTTTTGATGTTTTTCCATAGTTTCGGGCTTTCTTCGGTCGGCATTGTATGGAGGCTCGAACGCAGTTGTCGCCGACCTCTTCTCCACATCCTACAGCTCTGGTTGTCTCATGATCCTTGCATTCTTTCCGTACGGTATCGGCGCACTACTCGGCGCTCCATTGTCAGGTACAGATAGATTGGTGTCCGAGTCATTGGTAACGTGCATTCAACCATAATTCAAAATGCTCATAGGCCTATGTATGCCATCCGCTCCGTTCACAAGTACCCCCCTCACCGGCAAAGAGAGTACAGTTGGGGGTGACAGCTCTATGGGGGTGACCGACTGACGCCATCTTGCCTGACTGCAATTCATTTGCCGCGAAGCGCGGCCATTGCATGTACATAGTAAAAATCCCCTGGTGAACGTGCGTCACACACAAGGAACGGTGCGAAACCAGCGAAATGTCCCGCCCATGGGACGTCGTTGTTAGGTAAAAGGGCGCCGTCTTTCGTCGGCGCACGGAGCCCATTTGACAGTTATCTCAGTGGGATCTAAGGAGCCATGAAATGAGTTATGCACTAAAATGCGTTTTAAGTGCACCACCTTAGTATTCACAATTTTTTTAATGACATTTCTTCAAAAAAAAAAGAAGGGCACTGTTACAATGCTGTCACTTTAAGTGTTCACTTATGTACAGATTTTGGCTGTTCTGTACAAATTATAAACCTAAAATGAACCTCATGGTAACAGCTTGCTACATACCAAAAAAAAAGAAACTCTTGCAATTATTTGTGCTCAAATATACAAGCCTGTGCACTAATCAAATAGATTAGATATACCTAAAAAACAAACCATTTCAGGTCACATCTCATACCAACATGCATTTTATGGTATTCGACTCTAAGAAAGACTCTACCTAAGCAAAACGTCTTGAACACTGAGCAGCACCTTGTGTTTGTTGTAATGGTGTCATGGTATACAAACTAATATTGAGTGGCTCAGAATGAAATGGGAGGAATATTATCGAAAGGTAAAATCTGGACTTTTCCATTTTACGAGGCGAAGCCGAGTGAACTGGAAAAGTCCAGATTTTACCGAGTTTGTATATAACTGACATATGGATCCTTGTCATTTGATATATTTGAACTTTTATTTCAATACAAATTTAGTGGAAAATGTATTTCTCTCTTCCAAACCACCCTTTCACGAAAATGTTTGAACCCAACTCTGTAGCGTAACGCTGAACGCGCACAGCAGCATTTTAAGTTCTATATCTATGGCATGCATTTGCACACACTATTAATACCGCGTCATGGAACAAGAATGATCCTAAGGGCGTGTTTTCGCGACCTTGACCAGAACATGTTTCGGCTTTGGTCATTGGTTGAGCGTTTTTGTGACTTCGGTTGGCTGGAGTGACGTTACTGTTCCGACCAAAACCGAACCAAGGCCAAGGGTCGGTTACGGAGTGCATTTCAAGATGGCGGAAAGATAAACACACGACATGTAACAAAACAGTGTTGGGGGAAAATAAGCTTGTAATGCATACGTACATAGTCAGTTTGTACATTTTAAGTGGCCTGTAATAAAATGTCTATACAAATTATCGATGTTGTCAAAATGTCCGCCATGTTTGTTAACAACCTTTTGACACGGTTTTCGGTTCAGCGTTTTTGTGCGCATGTGTAAACATGTCTGGTTATCAATTTGACGTCGCAAACATGTTTCTGGTCGCGGTAGCGAAAACACGCCCCTTCCCATTCCCCATGGGAGAATGGGACTTTTTGAGCCCCGGCGTGAATGGGAGCAATAACGAATGTCACGTGATGTGAGTTCCACCAATCAAATGACAAGGATATGTATGTCAGTTATATAAAACTGAATAGTGGCCTATTGTCATCCATTATGTTTCATGGTTTGCTTGTTTTATTTCCGCTTTTTCCCTGCAGGTGGACTGTATGACATAACAGGTGACTACGTACTCAGCCTTATCGTCATCGCCGCCATCTTTGTTTGCGCATCGCTCACGTTCCTGTCAATCCCATTTCGACGGAGAATGAGGTCACGTAGTATATGTTGCTACTCTGGCAAGACTCGACCTGTTCAGTTATGAAGTGAATGTCTGAAAGAGAAACGGATACCTTGCCCCGTTTTGAGGAAAGCTAGAGTTACATTGTGCTTGATCCTCCTATAAGGATTGGAGCATATAACCTGTGTTTGAAATCGGGATTGGGATCAACTAATAGGGTTACGGACACTTGGAAACATGAGCAAACTGCACTGCAGTGACGTTGACCCTACACAAATCACGACGACATTTTCGACACTTTTTGTCGAGGTCACTTTCTTAGCAGTGATTCACCTTGGCAACTAGGCATATACATCTGCGCCATTCTAAATTTGGTGCGAAATAATTAACATTTAATTTTACCATTGAAGTCGTGAATTATCACCTAAGAAACAGGGCCACAATTATGCTAGTATATAGAATCCTGTTTAACCATGAACCTATTGTCAAGGAATAGGAGCGGGTTGACTGCTGCCAAGGTGCGGGCCAGCGTGGACTCCATTCACCTCGGGGTTGAGGGTGTGTACCTTGGGATGGAATGACAACTCCGGACTGCACTGATCTTGTACTTGATTATCTCATTATTTAATTATATCTGTTCATCTCTCATCGATCATCGATTAACATTGGCACATGGTAGAAAAGTACCGTTAGAAAAGAAACCCCCAAGCGGCGTGCTCTCACTCACAGCTGCCTATTCTGGCATCCTGTCAGGATGCCTATCATCCCCCAATAGAGAGAATGTCGCCCGTAAATTCCAGCGACCATCAAAGTCTTCCGGGTCTATCGGCAGCGAAAAGCGTAGACAGCGAGAACCCTGACGAGTAACGCACTCGCGTCCTGAGCGGACTTATCATTCCGCACTTAAACTAAAATATTCATTTTAGTTAACAAAAAGTACAAGATGCCCCATAAACTACCCAGACAGAATTAATAATATACATGTATTATGTAAAGCCTATATTTCAATGGTTGAGAATGTATACTGGTTTACATGTGTTAAGTGTCATCTGCCCAGATACAGTGTAAATGTACTTGACATTAAAGGGACTTCTTAATAATATAGATACAAAAGATGAACTGTACACAACCCTATCTGTCAAAGGGAAAAATACCCCGTTCTCCCATGGCACACTTTCCCTGTTTAACGAACCATGTGACCTCGATTGGTTTAAACCTATTTTTGATTCCAGAAATAATTTCACAGGAAATCATAGACATTCACAAATGCGAACAATAATTCTTCTGGGAAAACATACTTTACAAAGGTTAACAATAATTAATATTAACTTCAACAATACAGTTTCAAACTGAAACTAACAAGTCATAAAAATGTTAATAAAACACAATCCTTTTACAGACTGTTGTCCCAGGTTCAAATTTTACTTAAGCTAGAATGACACGAATTTTATTACACGTTTTTCATGTCGAAAGATACTAAGATAGCATGATCTGAAATTCACCCCAACAGATTTTCTGAAAAGCATTCAACTTGGTTTAATTAGGTTTCAATGATTTTAAGCAAATTAATAATTTTCCTACATACGTGATTTACGTTACCATTGTAATTATATAATCGTTAAAATTTACAGATTTAGACCAATATAAATAAAGCTGGCATTATGAAATTAGTGTAAACATCCTTTACTTTAGACTTAATATTAATGGATGACTACCAACGAAAAAAAAGCAAAACCACTGAACCAACCAGAAATGTCAACTTTAAAGCCCTTTGCAATTGAGTTTAAAACATGTGCATGTGTTTGCATTAAACACCCCATGCAAAAGACACATCACTAAATACATTGTGCAAATCTGGTTGTCAGTTGGCATAGTGTACATCTTGCAATAGAATACTATCTTGAGGACCCTTGTCATGTCTTGATGGTTACAATCACAAGGTATCATAAAAGTACATATTTACATGTATATCAAACAAAATCTTAAATAGCATCAAGGAAATCCTCTACTACTGTATCAGTATACAGCTATTTCGCTGCTGTTTGAAACAACTCAAGTTGTATATATAAAACAGTACATATTTTTCTCCGATGGACAATATCTATAATTATTTGTCTCAAGGTGCAGGGTGATGTAGACCCCTTACTTTTCAGCATTGACCGAAGAACAAGCACCACTAAATCTAAAGAGAACAATTACCTATCAAGCAAGTTATCAGTGGCACCCACCAGAAAATTTAGGGTCTAATCTTTGCAGCTAAAAACTACCTCTAGGAGGCCCTTGCAATACCTAATGAGGCCATCGTCAGTGAGATGGCCCCATCTCCTGAAATGTACTGAGGGTGATTTGTTTTTCGCTGATAGTACATCTTTACAGTTGGGTGATGCTTCCCAAGCTCTTTGTTCAAAAGGGCGTTGTATCGTTTGACCCTGTGATTAAATGTGGTGACTGAAACCTGGCCAGGTTGGTCAATATGAGACCTCCTATAATCACGGACAGGATTACGAAATGAGTGGGACGCACCGCTTGGTCTTCTAACATTGTTAGAAAACGAAGGGGTGTCATGTACAACAACGGCAGGGGTACCCCTAGGTTCCCATGTTGCATCTATGACTCAAGTTTGGTTCCAATTGAACTTCAACTTTTCAAATGAGACCAATTTTACATTTTCAGGCTATTTTACAACTTGACCTCAGATGACCTTTGACCTTGGTATGTGAGCTTTGACATCATTTTCATATGAAGTTGCCATGTTGCATCTTTGATCTGAGTTTGGTTCCAATTGGACTTCAACTTTTGAAAAAACCCCCAATTTTTCGAAACTTTAACCAAAATACCACACATACACTCAACCAAAAAAGAAAGTCCCCCCTTCCAATACTTTTTGTCTAACTCAAAAACTACTGAGCATCTCTCGCTCAAATAACGACTAATCAGTACAGAAATTCCTTAGCAATCCAGCCATATTCTTTATTTGGCTCAAAACAGTGATAATGTGTACGAATTTATGACAAATGATACCGAAAACAGTTGCACTTTTGTATACGTGCAAGTTGTGGTTCACACTCACCTTGCACGTATACAAAAGTGCAACTTTTTTTCAGTACTGTAACGTGCGTCGCCTAGTCGGTCCCTTGCCTCTCTGGCCCAGTCCCGATGGAGTTGAAGCACCTGCGGTTGGAGGCCACAGCACCAAGTGACGAACAGCACTCCCAAATCTGCTCCACCAGGGGGAAAGCGCTAACTCAACTTGTGTTTGGGATTTAGGGAATTGGGTGGATTAATCTGTGGTTTTGGGTGGATTAACCTATGGTTTGGGTGGTTGACCGGTGGCTCTGGGTGGCTGACCGGCTGACCAGTGGCTTAAGTGGCTAAAGTGGCTCAAGTGGCTCGAGAGGCTCAAGTGGCTCAAGTGGCTCAAGTGGGGGAGACTTACACCCTAATTAGTGACAATTAGACAATAAAACAGAGACAGGAGACTTCTTTGACTTCTTTGGTCCCACCAGGCGAAGAAGTGAGATTTATTCTCTCAAACTGTGCCTTTTATAGGCCAACATGGTCATATACATTCACATACAATAAATGCCCCTCATTACTAAAGTACACAGGGTGCCTCAACCAATGAAAATGCAGTATTGCTTAGTAGATGACTTAAGCCACGCCCACTAACAGCGCTGGCCAATTAAATGCTGATGTTCTAGTATGAGTGACTGGGCACTAAAGAAAAGTCACTATACAGTTCATGTTAATGTATAAAACGTATAGTTGATGATTCATCACATGACCTCCCCCCAGAGTTTTCAGTCCCTGAAACTGTTAAGTCTTAATTTATTAAAGTTTCCACACAACAACATTTGAAAACTTAAGATTTTGAATCAGAGCCACATCCTTCATTCAGTATTCTTATATAAAATTTACAATCTTTGCAGTTGACAAAGTGGGTTTAATAAATCTCATAAGCAGCAGTATTTGTGCACACAAACCTAGTTTAACAATCATCTTAGAACAACTCTAAAATCGAACGATTAATCCTTTTTATCAACACATGACTTTATATGAAATAGATGACTTTATATAAAATAGATGGCTTTATATAAAATAGATGGCTTTATATAAAATAGATGAGCAACACTTTCAAAATACCTCTATAAAAGTCTTCTTAGTACATGTACATGTATAACAAAATAAAGTGGTTCATATTAAACCAACTCCTTTAGAAATAACTTGGTCCTCAACTTTTAAAGTTTCAAAATTAACTGTAACTTTTATAACAACTGAACATTTCAAACTTTAAAACTCTGTAATTATTTGGAACTTTAACTTTAGAAGTAAAAATCTTGCTTTGCCTCTTTCTGGGAGTGCAATACTCCTCGGCGGAATACCCGGGTGATGGTCGTTACTTCTATGTGATCTGCCATCTCCCCAGCTGGGTCTTCACTTTCCGTGGAGGAGCTCACTTGGGGCACCATCTCAGTGTGAAGCTGCCTAAGCAGCTTCAATGACTTTCCCCCAGTCTTGGGGTGGCCAGTAGCAGTGGAGGTTGAGGGGGAACCACGTGGGGATGGGACAGGGAGGAGTTGTAGCTCCGGCTCCGGTGACATGATGGACGGAGAATTGGGTGCTCGAGGCTTGGCTGAGGTGGAGCAATCCTTCCCACCATAGTGCAACTGGGACTCGGCATGGCGGTGCAAGCTGGTATTCCTGGTGAACCGCTCCCCGCACGTGCTGCAAGCGAAGGGCAAGGCCTCCCTATGTCTCTCCTTTTCATGTCGGACCAGGCTGGCTCGAGAGGTGAATTTCTTCCTGCAACCACCCACATGGCAAGGGAAGGAGGTGGTGGCTGGCGGGCGTATCACGGAAATCGTGGCCTCAGGCTTCTGGGGATGGGCGCTTGGTGTTGAGCTGCTCTTGTGATGATGACTGCTCGTTCTATATCTAGGGCGTTTGCTGGCCCCGTCATCCCCCGGTCGCTTCTCGTCACGCCGCTTGCCGGCCGATGGCTTGTCACCATGGTTGCCCCTAGGCATGGTGGACAGTGGTACTGTACTACTGTAGGTTGTGGAAACGGCGGTGGCTGTGGTGGCTGTGGTGGCTATAGTGGCTGCGGTGGCTATAGACCGCTTGCAGACGCGTTCGATAATCGACGCGCGAAGGCGCGCGACGCCATGTTGTGGGACAGGCGTATATCAATTCACGCACATTTTGTCCCATAACATGGCGTCGCTCACCTTAGCGCGTCAATTATCGAACGCGTCTGCAAGCGGTCTATAGTGGCTGCGGTGGCTGTGGTGGCTATAGTGGCTGCGGTGGCTGTATACAGTGCGATATGTGCGGTCGTAGTTGTGGACGGTTCAAGGTTCAAACACAGAATGAGCTGAGGCATGTACGCGCGCCGTATAGCGTACGCGTCACACGTCCATGCCACGCCCACCCGGACCCATCCGGTTCGTTAGTAAAAACGTCATACACGCGCGCACACCCCTGATTACTAGCGCCCATTGGCTGCAAACGCTCGGGCTGCGTTAACTTCCGGTTCCAATCGCGCAGAAAGTGCTGGAGGTGACGTCACACTAACGAACCGGATACATGTCTCGCACGCACAAACGGTACACGCTGTGCGTGGTTGCTATGCAACCACGTGGTGTCTGGTTGATTCCCTCAGGCTTTCAGCACACACATGAAGTACAGGATACCAGTTACAAGTTGCGGCAACGATGACCATTTTAGCAGATTTTTCTTTCTGCTAAATCCTTTTCTTTCTTGTACGGGCTAAACATCGTAATCCTGTAGCCTAGTGGGACGTCGTCGCTGGCGTTTTGGGTACCGCCCGACGGAAATTTGGGTATTTGATGCTGGTTCTTGCTCTTCGTCTGGAATTAGGCCCGTTGTGATATCTTCACTGCCGTTTCCTTGGACGGAAATTCGTTTCCCTCCCGCCGATTCTTGTTCTGTCGATCGTTCAACAGAGGGCTCGAGGTGAAGTGGGCATTCCCCAATGTTGTCTGTGGTTTCTCCAAGTGGATCATCGGCCACCAAGTGAACACCATCTTCATCAGTTGGTGGAAGTTCCTGCTCATCCTCGGTCTCCGGCTCCACAGGAACGCTATCTCTCCCCTCGGTTCGCCATTTTCTTCTCTCTGGGCCCGTGTAGATCTTCAGTTTGTCATAATGCACAACCTTCAGCTTTGATCTTGGTTTCTCCTGTATCCGGAAGGTCACATCTGATAACCTCTTCAGGACTAGATACGGGCCAATCCATTTGAACTGCAGCTTGGGAGAC